AAAAAAGCCATGAATTCTATGTGCAGTATTCCCCTAGCACTGGAGTTCTCCCGTTCTCCTTGATCGGTAAACTTGGTCTTGGCTTGCTGGCTGTTAGTGCTGATCTTCTGGGGGAGGGGCCTGTTGCCATGGTTCCCAAATGTTTTGCTGGAGGTGGAGTTGCCCTGCCCTTGTCGGTCCGGGCTAAGCAGTCTGCTCGGGTTTGCTCTCAGGAGCTTTTGTTCCCCGCAAGCTCTCGGCACAGCTTTGGAGGACCAGGGTGAAAATGGTGGCCTCCCAATCTCCACCCGGAGGAGCTGAGAACTCGGGGCCCCACTCTTCAGTGCGCCCCCAGAGAAAAGCAGTCAATCACTCCTGTCTGCCCGGTCTCCGGCCGCACTCCGTGCTCACCCAGCCTGTGACCGAGTGTTTCTATCTGTGGCACCCGACCCCGTGTGGAGTCTCCAAACCCAGCAGATCCCTGCAGTGCGCTCCCACGCCACTCCTCCCGGGGTAGGAAGGGGAGTCTCCCCGACTCTGCCGCTTGTTGGGTCCCTGCTGGAGGAGCAGTGGCCCGACTGGGCCACGGATCAGTTTATGGCAACCCCGAGCTGAGAGCCCGCGCCTTGGCTCCATCTCTGCAGCCGGCTTCCCTGCTCTGATACCTGGGAGCTCTGCCGCATTCAGGCACCCCCAGTCTTTCTGTGACCCCGAGGTTCCTGAGACCACACTGTCCCATGAGGGTTCCACCCCCTGCTTAGCCACTGGAGCGACATCCCTCAGCGGAGCCGACTTCTAAAAGTTCCGATTTTGTGCTCCACGGCTCTAGCACTTGCCAGAAGCGGCCCACGGAGGCCCCTCCCCCGCCGTCTATCCTCCTGAATATCGCCTCAGATTCACTTCTCCGCACGTCCTACCTTCCAGTAAGTGGTTGCTTCTCTGTTCAGAGAGTTGTTGCTATTCTCTTCTTTCATCTCCTGTTGAGTTCGTAGGTGTTCAGAATGGTTTGATCCCTATTCAGTTGAATTCCTGAGACCAGACGAAATCCAGGTCTCCTACTCCTCCGCCATCTTGCTCCGCCCTCTACATCATTAGTTTTTGATGTAGTGTTCCATGATTCATTGTTTGCATATAACACCCAGTGCTCCATGCAGAATATGCCCTCTTTAATACCCATCACCAGGCTAACCCATCCTCCTACCCCCCTCCCCTCTAGAACCCTCAGTTTGTTTTTCAGAGTCCATAGTCTCTCATGGTTTGTCTCCCCCTCCATTAATCTGTTCTTTTATACCCAAACATTTTTGCCTTAAGAAAATTTCCCTAACCCATGTTATTAGCAAAAATCAAGAGTCTAAAAATACCAAATATTGATGAAAGTATGTCATAATCCAATCCAGTAATTAACAATCCAATTATGTACCTGAGGCCCAGTTTTTAATATCATTATCATAAATGTGCAAAAAAGTTTTTATAACATATTATAAAGCTTAGCTTTCCTATGATTTGCAATTAATCTAACCAACATATAACTTATATCTATGTTTGCAGACCTTAAACTAATAATGAAAACATAAAACTTACCATCAATATCAATAGTCTTTAGTGCCTTTTGCATTTCTGAATCACTTATAAAAATCTTCAAGGTATGATGGATCATTGGCAGATCATTCACATAAATCTTACCACTTTGAATTTTGCTGAAAATTTTACAGGCCTTCTGAAGTGCTAAACATATACACCAAAACAGTTAATTCAAATGAATAATTATCCTTATCCCTGATACATCCTCTCTCAAGGAAAAACAACAATAATCACTAAAAGAAGAAAGAGGAGCAAATCTTTGTGTTCTAATCCTTTGCTTTAAAATGTATCTTGTGACTTATTTAGGTCCTTCTAGGGTGAATGGCCTCTAAATCTGTTCTAAAGAACTCTCAGAAACTGTGAGAAAGTCATGCGAAATTCACATCGTAAAGGCTTCCACAACTTTACCTGGGAGTGTTAAATCCTTCTTCCATGCTCCCATATCAGTTGGTATGTATCTCAGTCAAAGCTCTGGGTATTGTGACTGTTTGCATGTTAATATTCCTCACTAAACTGTCAGCTTTTAGGGGGCAAGATTTTTCATTCTTCAAGTGCCTTCTAGTTCAGGATAGATCCTCAAAAAACGTCTGCTGAATTGAATTTAGTTCAGTGGATACAACATGTAATTTTCAGAAAAAGAGGTGCTGGATGACAGTGCTAAATACCGGAGAAAGACTAAAATGTTGATAATAATGATTTTAATAATAGGAGTTTTTTAAAAAGATTTTATTTTATTTATTTGAGAGAGCGAGAATGAGAGAGAGAGAGAGAGAGCACATGAAAGGGGGGAGGGTCAGAGGGAGAAGCAGACTCCCCGCTGAGCAGGGAGCCCGATGCAGGACTCGATCCCAGGACTCCAGGATCATGACCTGAGCTGAAGGCAGTCGCTTAACCAACTGAGCCACCCAGGCGCCCAATAATAGGAGTTTTAATAGAGTATTGGAGATGGAAACCGGTTTCAGTGTAATGGGAAGTAAATAAATAATTAAGGAAAACAACTCTGAAGAAGCTTCTTTGAAAAACAGAGTATAAAATTGACATAGTCCTGGGGCACCTAGGTGGCTCAGTCAGTTAAGTGTCCGACTCTTGGTTTCTGCTCAGTTCATGACCTCAGGGTTGTGAGACATAGCCCTGCACTGGCTCCATGCTCAGCAGGGAGTCTGCTTGAGATTCTCTCTCTCCCTTTCCCTTTGCCCCTCCCCCTGCTCTCTCTCTCTCTCAAATAAATAAATATATCTTTAAAAAATTTTACATAGTCCCTGAGGAAGTAGAAGAAAACTGAATGAAAGAAAATTAAGAGTGAAGGGATTAGTCTCATGAAAGGGCATTTTCTCCAATGAGACAAAAGGGAAGGCCATGGATGTTGTTTACAATCCTAAGAGTTCTCCCCACAATGAAAAATGTTTTCCTTTTTTTCTGTAACTACATGAGATGATGGATATTAACTAAACTTATTGTGGTAATCATTTCACAATGTATGTAAGTCAGGTCATTATGCTGCACACCTTAAATGTATACAGTGCTACATCTTAATTATATCCCAATAAAACTGGGGGATAAAAGATGCCTAGTATAAGGGTGACTGGCTGGCTGTTACTAAAGCATGCAACTCTTGATCTTGAGGTTGTGAGTTTGAGCCCCAAATTGGGCATAGAGATTACTTAAAAAAAAAAATTGTCTAATATGATGACCAGAGTTAAGGTAAGAGGAAAAATATGCCAAATGACTCTATAAATATAGAGGAGAGGCCAGAGATATGGAAGAACTTTGTGTCAAGAAGTGAAGGGTACTATGATTCTTAATATTAAGATACCAAGAACTAAATCCCAGTAAAATCAGTGACTCCAGTGCTTACTAATGTATTCATTGGATGTAATATCCAGATTTTTTCCCAAAAAATTTGAACTAGAATAAGCACATATGTTATTATTTTGCCTATATCATCAATACAACAGAAGATATTCATAAATACTTAGTTTAGTTTACTTATGCCTTGCTCACAGCATTTGCATATCATGTAATATTAGTTGATATCATACGCCATTAGAAGTAAATAGATACTAACCACTGAAACAATTCCTAATAAAGCACACAATCAGGAAATTAATTCAAGAAATTCTAGAACCTATTATTATCACTTAATTCTTGTGAGTGTAAGTCTCCTTGAGGTACTTCGTTATATAATGTCTTGTAGAGGCTAGAAATCATTTCCCTTTTCCTGTCAAAGAAACAGCCACATTAGAAAGCAGCACAAAAAACAAAACAGCATACACACACACACACACACACACACAAAATATGCCATTTTTTCCATTAAAATATTAACAAACCTATCCGCTACATCAAAAACTAATGATGTATTGTATGGTGACTAACATAACATAATTAAATTAAATTAAAAAAACAAAAACAAAAAACAAACCTATCAATGGATTGAGATTCTCCAGTGTCTTACTCCACAAAAACCTTTCTTAAAGAACTGTCCAAGTGATAGTGAATTATATATTCTTCACTCCAGAATTCCCACCTTGCTTCTTTCTGCTCTATGGAGCAGAATTTATCCTAGCAAATTCTGTAAGCAGTAAGTAAGTAGTGCCCATGACCCACAATCCTTTGGCTGTGGTCCAATTATTGCTACTTTTAATTCAAGTCACAGCAAATTTTCAGAAAGTTATTATAGGAAGGAAAAATAAGAATATCTTTAAACAGCAAAGAATCCCAGATTCCACAACCTGTCAGTAGAAACAATTTGGAAAGATGATTTATCTAATCCCATAACACGTAATAACTGAAATCATAAAATGTTAGTGTTAGAAGAAATCTCAAGAGTCCATCTAGTACAAGATTCTTGTACAGATGTGGAGACTGAGGCCCAGAGATATAAAGTGAATTGTACAAGAGCCTAAGCTAGCATGTGAGGTCAATAAGTACTCAATTCTAAGTCTTTCATTTCCATTTACAGTGGGCTCAGCTCTACACCATCCTTCCTAAGAGCAGAGTCTTACTTTGCACAAACTACTTTGCATACTTTATGTGGAAAGGATAGATGATTCCAAAAAGAAAAACCCCAAGTCTGAATGCAACATTTAGGGTAAAAAATATGATGACTTAAATACCGAATAATTGAGGAAGATGTACAAAAGGGTGATAAAGTCTTATGAACACTGTACTGATTCGGCAACTTGAATAAAGAGTTTTCTTCCCTAGTCATCTTTTCCTTTGACAGCTTCACTGAGGAAGAGGCAATCTAGAACCAAATACAAGAATGTTGGTGACTGAGATCACATTGGTAAACCAGCATTATTGGACAATAAACCTGTTATAAGAGAGGCTCCTCATATCATATCTAGGCTCCTCACTGATGTAAAATTGCTTTTCGTAAGGAAATTAGTTTACATATACTAAAATTTGAAATAAACTATACAATATTTTTTGCAAAGCCACATTTTTCTAAATATGCAACTAAATCATCTCCTAATTAATATTAATATTGTGTCAATTTATAATAATGGATTTTACAAAGCAGGGCAAATCTATGGTACAGTGAAGACAAGACCACCAGATTCTATGCTACATATATAGGCTTTGACTATATGAGCAAAATAATGTAAAGAAGCAAACAGTTATTCAAATAACACAGGTAGTGGGACACCTGGGTGGCTCAGTCAGTTAAGCGGCTGCCTTCGGCTCAGGTCACGATCCCAGGGGTCTTGGGATTAAGTCCTGCATCGGGCTCCCTGCTCAGCAGGAAGCCTGCTTCTCCCTCTGTCTGCTGCTCCCCCTGCTTCTGCTCTCTCTCTCACACACAAATAAATAAACAAAAATCTTAAAAGAAAAATAACACAGGTAGTTATGTTTTAAATTATCCTTATGATTGAGAAAATGATCCACTTGACATGTATATATAAACACGATTCAAAAGTGGCAAGTAGCTAGGTAGATAGAAAAGCGTCACTTTAGAAAATGAGGACTAGGGGCACCTGGGTGGCTCAGTCGGTTAAGCATCTGCCTTCAGCTCGGGTCCTGATCCCAGAGTCACGGGATAGAGCCCCACATGGAGCCCCGCATTGAGCCCCGCATCGAGCCCCGCATCAGGCTCTCTGTTCTGCAGGAAGCCTGCTTCTCCCTCTCCCACTCCCCCTGCTTGTGTTCCCTCTCTGTCTCTCTCTGTCAAATAAATAAACAAATTCTTTAAAAAAAAAAAAAAGCAAGAAAATGAGGACTATAATATTAGGTGTCTTCAATTTTACATGGAATCTAGAGCCTTGTCTTTTAAAGACCATGCAGGATGTAGAAAGAAGACTCTGAAGCCATACAAGATTGGTAAGAATTGGTACTGAGATCCCACATAGAGCCAAAATTTTCAAAAGGCAATGTTACCAGCAAGAATAGGCTAGGGGAAAAGAAAAAAAAAAAGCAAAAAAAAAACCCAAAACAATTTATCCCCCAATAGAAGAAGTATGCAGAGTAAAATCTGTCTTTGTCTCAGCTCTTGGCTGAAAAAAAGAAAGAGAGAGAGAGAGAGAAGAGTGCTCCTCTTGATTATAGTTATAGCTCCACCCACAAATAAGTGTAGAACTCAAATCTACACAAAATACATGGGCTAGGAAAACAGAAACCAAAAAATTCATTTAAAGTGGTCCCATGTTTGTAACAGCTCTGAAGTGCAGAGCAGAAGCGAATTCAAATTCTCCTGGAGGAGGGTACCCTAAATCCAGAGTCATCATGAGATTCCCACAGATTTAGATCAAATATATAATTTGATATATAGGATATAAGGATATAAGTTAATGAGTGAGAATCAGACAAAGCAATAAACAGATTTAGATCCCCAAGGACTTTATATTAGGTTTATCAGATATCAATCTTGAAACATCTACGGAACATGAGCAAAGAACATGACAGAAGGCAGATTATAAGAAAAACCAAATGAAATGTCTAGAAGTAAAAAATATAAGCACTGAAATTAAAATCTCAATAGACAGGTTAAACTGCAGATTAGATTCAGCTAGAGAAAGAAAAACTAGAAAACAGATGGGAGAAATTATCCAGACAAAAGAGAGTGCATCTAAGTACATCATATAGTGAATGTAGTAGGTTGGATGGCAGCCGCACAAAAAGATATGCCCATATTCTAATTCTTGGAACCTACATATGTGACTTTATTTGGTAAAAGGTCTTTGCAGATGGAACAAAGTCAAGGATCTCAAGATGAGATCTACAATGATGTGCTTATAGAAGTAGGAGGAGACCTGAGATACAAACACAGTTAAGAAGACCATATATACAGAGCAAGATGGAGGCCAAGACTGAATTTATGCTGCCACAGCCAAGGAATGCCTAGGGTCATTGTTATAACAGCAGAAGTATTAACAGAGAGCACAGTAATAAAAATAAAGATCTAATGGAGGAAAAGGGGGAAAATGTCATATTCTTCTGAAAGGCTTCCTTGTTATATTAAAAAAAAAAGGAAAGGAAAAAGAAGAAAAGGAGGAAAGGGGGAGGAGGAGGAGAGGGAAGAAGAGGAAGAAGAAATATTTAAGACTGTGACATTTCAATACTTGAACTAAAATGTGATGGAATGTTTGAAAGCTAAAAACAACACTCAAAAGTAAAATAAATATTTCCAGATCATTATTTACCTCAGTTCTTTTAGTATGCAATTGTCCTTGTAAACTTTTCTTTCTCTTGAGCTTTTTTTCTCCTGAAAAATTAGAGGATTTTTCTTCTCCACATAGGAATATTGTTGTTTCATTCCTAAATTGCACAGAAAATTGGAATAATTCTTGAATTGCTTTTTTTCTTACTTTTTGTTTTTTCATCTTTTATTTGCAGAATTTTCAAACATATACAAAAGTAGAGTAATTGGTGATCTCCCCATGTACCCATCACCCAGCTTCAATAATGGGCAATCCTATTTCATCCATATCCCTATCCCTACTTCCATTTCTTATTATTTTGAAGGAAATTCCAATGTTATATTATTTCATGTGTAAAGATTTTAGTATGAATTTCTACAAGGTGTTTTTTCTTTTAAAAATATATTTGAAACACAATTATGAGATCCAAAATATTAACAATAATTTCTTAATATTATCAAACATAGTCAGTGTTCAAATTTCCAATTGTTTTATAAATGTCAACATTTTTTAACTTTGCATCAGGTTTCAATAAGGTCCCCATTACAGTTTGTTGATGTGTCTTTTTTTTTTTTTTAAGATTTTATTTATGTGACACAGAGAGAGAGACAGAGAGAGAGGGAACACAAGCAGGGGGAGTGGGAGAGAGAGAAGCAGGCTTCCCGCCGAGCAGGGAGCCCGATGTGGGGCTCGATCCCAGGACCCTGGGATCATGACCTGAGCCGAAGGCAGATGCTTAACTGACTGAACCACCCAGGTGCCCCTGTTGATGTGTCTTTTAAATCTCCATTTATCTATAGGTTCGCCTACCATGCCTTTTATCATCACCATCATCATCATCATCATCATTCCCAGGCAATTTGTCTCATAGATTTTCCAGTCTGGATTTTGCTAATTGTATTACCATGGTTGTAAGATTTTTTTTTTTTCAAGATTTTATTTATTTAGTTTTCAGAGATAGAGAGAGAGAGAGAGAGCACAGGCAGGGGGAGCGGCAGGCAGAGGGAGAAGCAGGCTCCCCATTGAGGAAGGAGACCCATGTGGGATCATGACCAGAGCCAAAGGCAGACGCTTAACTGACTAAGCTACCCAGGCATCCCTGGTTGTAGGATTTTAAAGATTTAATCGGATTAACATTTTTTGTTTTTTGGTTTTTTTTTGGCAAAACCACTATATAGATGCCGGTGCTTTCCACAGGGAGGCATATAATGTACAATTAGTTCTCTAATTGTGGTATTAGCTGCTATATTTATACATAATAACTAGACTCAGCAAATCATCAGGGACTATAAAATATTTATACCTAAATCTATCATTCCTTCTTCACTCATTAGCTAGAATATTTCTTTAAAGAAAAACTTCCTCTTGGGAACTATTTGGTTAGTCAGTGGTATAGTTCATACAGAAAGGCAGGATAATTAATTTATACTTTTCCTTTATTTACCACTTTTCATAACACTGACTTGGCTCACTTGTAACCTCCAATAGTGACAAAATAATTTTTATATCATTTTGTATACTTGGATTTATATACATTAAATTCATCTTACTTCCTTGTAATTATTATCCTTATTGATAACCCAATTATCACATGTATAGTGGGAGTCTCTTCAAGTAGGCTCTTGAGTCCTTTTGATGCATCCCTGGTAGGAGTCTTTGTTAGTTTCCTTATTTCTGTAACACCAGATGCTCCAGGCTCATCTATACATTTCCTTTCCCAGACCTTCACTTCCTCGAGGGCATTGTGTGTCCCCAGGTGGTAACCTATTTTATACAATGCTAACAAAAGAAAGTAAAGGAACACTTATACCACCTCCTATTCCTTCCTTGCCTCTGTCATCTAACACAAAGGAATAGTGAGAATCCCCATGAGACTATCAGCAGATTTGTCAGCAGAAATCCTGAAGGCCAGAAGAGAGTGGTATGACATATTCAAAGTGCTAGGGAGGGGCACCTGAGTGGCTCAGTCGTTAGGCATCTGCCTTTGGCTCAGGTCATGATCCCAGGGTCCTGGGATCAAGCCCCGCATCAGGCTCCCTGCTCAGTGGAAAGCCTGCCTCTCCCTCTTCTACTCCCCCTGCTTGTGTTCCTTCTCTCGCTGTCTCTCTCTGTCAAATAAATAAATAAAATCTTAAAAAAAAAAAAAGTGCTAGGGGGAAAAAAAACTGCCAACCAAGAATACTCTACCCCACAAAGTTGTCCTTCAGGAAGGACAAAGAGTTTTACAGACAAGAAAAAGAGGTGAAAGGAGTTCCTCACACTAGATTGGCCTTACAAGAAATGTTAATGGGAGTTCAAGCTAAAATGAAAGGATGCTAATTAGTAACATGAAAACAAATGAAAGTATAAATCTCACTGACAGAGGTAAATATATATTTAAATTCAGGATACTCTAGTATAGTAATGGTGGTAGGTAAATCATATAGAACTCTCATATAAAGGTTAAAAGACAAAAGTATTAAAAATAACTATAACCAGCCAAACTATGGAAAGAGCCAAGCTGTCCAATCAACAGATGAATGGATAAAGAAGATGTGGTATATATATACAATGAAATATATGCAGCCATCAAAAAAAAAAAGAAATCTTGCCATTTGCAACAACATGGATGGAACTAGAGGGTATTATGCTAAGTGAAATAAGTCAATCAGAGAAAAACAATTATCTTATGATCTTACTGATATGAGGAATTTGAGAAACAAGACAGAGGATCATAGGGGAAGGGAGGGAAAAATGAGACAAGATGAAACCAGAGAAGGAGACAAACCATAAGAGGCTCTTAATATCAGGAAACAAACTGAGGGTTGCTGGAGTGGAGGGGGCTGGGAGGGATGGGGTGGCTGGGTAATGGACACTGGGGAGGGTATGTGCTATTGTGAGCACTGTGAATTGTGTAAGACTGATGAGTCACAGACCTGTACCCCTGAAACAAATAATACATTTATATGTTAATAAAAAAATTAAAAATTTTTTAAAAGCACTAAAAAAATAACTATAACCACAATAATCTGTTAATGGATACACAGTATAAAAAGATGTAAATTGTGACATCAAAAACAAAATGAGCGGGAGGTGTAAACATGTTGAATTTTTATAAACCTTTGAATTTAAGTTGTTATCAGCTTAAAATAGACTTATAACTATAAGATGTTTTATATAACCACAAAGCAAAAACCTATAGTAAATACTCAAAAGATAAAAAAAAAAAGGAATCAAAGTATATCACCAGAGGGGCACCTGGCTGGCTCAGTTGGTAGAGCATGTGATTTTTGATATCAGGGTTGTAAGTTTAAGGCCCACATTGGGTGTAGAGATTACTTAAAAATAAAAATAAAAAAATTTTAAGTATATCACTAGAGAAAATCAACAAATCACAAATGGAGAGAGTAAGAGAAAGGAACAAAGAAACTATAAAACAGCCAGAAAACAATCAAAATGACAGTAGTAAGTCCATACCTATCAATAATTACCTTAAATATAAATGGACTAAATTCTCCAACCAAAAGACATGGAGTGACTGAATAGATTAAATGGAAAAAAAAAAAAAAAAAGACCCAAATATATGCTGCCTCCAAGAGGATCACTTCAGCTTTAAGGCCAAGTATAGAATGAAAGTGAAGGGATAGAAAAAATATTACATGTAAATGGAAACCAAAAGAGGGCAGGGGAAGCTATATTTACATTAGACAAAATAAATTTCAATACTTTTTTTATTAAAAGATTTTATTTATTTGAGAGAGAGAGATAGTGAAAGACAGCATGAGTGGGGAGGAGAGGGAGAAGCAAGTTCCCCACCGAGCAGGGAGCCCGACATGGGGCTGGATCCCAGGACCCTGGGATAATGACCTGAGCCGAAGGCAGATGCTTAACCGACTAAGCCACTCAGGCGCCCCTTCAGTACATGTTTTTAAGCCAAAAATTGTAACAAGAGACAAACAAGGGTCATTACATAATGATAAAGGGATGAGTTAATCAAAAGTATATAGCAATTGTAATATTTATGCATCCAACATACGAGCACCTAAATATATAAAACAAATAATAATAGATCTGAAGAGAGAAATAGACAGCAATACAGCAATAGTAAGAGACATTTCAATACCCCACTTTCAACAATGGATAGATAAACTAGACAGAAAGACAAAGGGAAACATTGGATTCCAACTACACCATCAACCAGATGGACCTATAGAGACAGACATATAGAGAACATTCTATCCAACAGCAGCAGAATACACATTCTTCTCAAGCATATATGCAACATTCTCTAGGATAGATCATCACAAAACAAGTCTTTAAAACCTTAAGAAGACTGAAATCATATCAAGCATCTTTTCTGACACAAAGGTATAAAACAAGAAGTTAATTACAAGAAAAAAACTGGAAAAATCACTTATGTAGAGATTAAACAACTTGTTCCTGAACAACCAATGGGTCAAGGAGAAAATCAAAAGAGAAATAAAAAACATCTGGAGACAAAGTAAATGAAAACACAACATACCAAAACTTATTGGATGCAGCAAAAACTGTTCTAAGAGAAACATTTATAGAGATAAATGCCTATATAAGGAAAAAAGAAAGATCTCGAATAAACAGCCTAATTTTATACCTCAAGGAATTGGAAGAAAGAAAAAGAATTAAGCCCAGAGTTAACAGAAGAAAAGAAATAACAAAGATTAGAGCAGAAGCAAGTGAAACATAGACTAAAAAGAGTAAAAAAGATCAAAGAAGCTAAGAGCTTGTTTTTTGAAAAGATAACCAAAATTAACAAATCTTACTAGACTAAGAAAAAAAGAGAAGACTCAAATAAATAAGAAATAAAGAGGAAACATTCAATTGATAACAGAACTACTAAAGAGCATAAGAAACTATGAATAATTATATGCCAACAAATTAGATAACCTAGAAGAAATATATAAATTTCTAAATTTCTAGAAACATGTAAGACTGAATCATGAAGAAATAGAAAATCTGAAAAGACTAATTATTAGTAAAGAGATTGAATCAGTAATCAGAAACCTCCCAACAGAGAAGAGTCCAGGATGGCTTCACTGGTGAATTCTACTAAATATTTAAAGAATTAATGCCAAATCTTCTCAAACTCTTCCCAAAAACTGAAGAGGAGAGAACACTTCCAAACTCATTTTATGAGGCCAGCATTAGCCTCAGCATAGCAAAGCGAGACAAGGACACTACAAGAAAAGAAAATTACAGCCCAGTATCCCTGATAAACATAGATGCAAAAATTCTCAACAAAATATTGGCAAACCAAACCAACAGTACACTAATGACCTAGTGGGATTTATTTCTGGGATGCAAATATGGTTCAACATAGGCCAATCAGTAAATGTGATACACCACAATATAGGGAAAAACCCATTCCTCTGTTTCTCCTTTACTCTCACACTACTACCATTCTCACAACACTTCTGACACCAGATATGTGAGGTTCCCGCCCCCCCCCCATGAAGCCATTCTCTGCCACACTAGCTAGGTGTCCTACAAATTAACTCCATTCTGACACTATCTACCTGAATATACTGTCAGATTCCACTGGTTAAGGGCTCAGTCCCACAACACTGCCCCCAACCCACTTGTGCCAATCACAACTCCAGGTTGTACCTATGATTCTGACTGATCAGCTATAAATCAGAGGTTCCTACAAGCCCCTCCTTGGATTTGATTAATTTGCGAGAAGAGCTCACAGAACTCAGAAAAATAGTTACTTATGTTTACCAATTTATTTTAAAAATATCATAGAAGATACAGATAAACCCAAATGAAGAGATACATAGGCCAAAGTCTGGGAGGATCTCCACATAAGAGCTTCTGTTCTTATGGAGTTAGAGTGCATCACCCTCCTGGTATGTGGATGTTTACACCAACCAGGAAGATCTCTGAACCTCATACAACTGAGATTTTTATGGAGGCTTCCTCATGTAGGCATGATCAATTATTAATTCCATTTCCAGCCCTTCTCCCCTCTCTGGAGAGATTCTAGATTGGTGAACACATCCACAAACTGGGAGGGTGACACACCCCAACTCCATGAGGACAGAAACTCTTATGCTTGGGACCCTCCCAAATCTCACCTTGTGTATATCTTCATCTGGTTATTCATCTGTATACTCTGTCATAATCTTTAATAAACTGGTAAACATGAGTGTTTCCCTGAGTTCTGTGAGATGTTCTAGCAATTAATTAAACCCAAGGAGGGGTCATGGGAACCTCTGATTTGTATCTAAATCAAACAGAAGTTGTGGAGAACCTGAGAACTTACTACTTGAGATTGGTATATAAAGGTGGGGTGGGGGACAGTCTCATGGGACTGAGCCATTAACCTGTGGGATTTGATGCTATCTCTAGGTAGAAAGCATTAGAATTGAGTTAAATTGTAGGACATCCAACTGGTGTCACAGAATGGCTTGGTGTGGGAAAAACCCACACATTTGGTGTCAGAAGTGTTATGAATATGGTTGTAGTATGATAGTAAAGGAGAAACATAGGAGAACTGAGGTTTTTCCAAACATAACCACATTAACAAAATGAAGGATAAAAATAGTATCATCTCAAAAGATGCAGAAAAAACATTAGATAAAATTCCATGTTCTTTCATGATAAGAGATCTCAGCAAAGTGGGTGTAGAAGGAATATACATCAACACAATAAAGGATATATATGACAAGCCAGAGCTAACATCATACTAAACAGTCAAAAACTGAAAGCTTTCCCTCTAAGGTCAGGAACAAGAGAACAGTGCCCACTCTCACCACTTTTGTTCAAAATAGTATTGAAATTCTAACCAGAGCAATTAGGCAAGAAAAAGAAATAAAAGGAATTCAAATGGAAAGGAAGAAGTAAAACTGTTTCCAAATGGTATGATCTTTTATACAGAAAACCCTAAAGACTCTAACAAAAACTGTTAGAACTAATAAATAAATACAGTAAAGTTGCAGATACAAAATCAATATACAAAATCAGTTGCAGAAATTTCTATAAACTAACAACAAACCATCAGAAAGAGAAATTAAGAAAAAAATCCCGTTTACATTAGCATCAAAAAATAAAATATTTAGGAATAGATTTAACCAAGAAGGTGAAAGATCTGTATGCTGAAAACCATAAAACATTAATTAAAAAAAAAAACTGAATAAGACATAAATAAGTGGCAGGATATTCTGTGTTTGTGGATTGGAAGAATTAATATTGTTTAAATGTCCATACCATCCAAAGTGATCTATAGAATCAATGCAATTCCTATCCAAATTCCAGTGGCATTTTTCACAGAAATAGAAAAAATAATCTTAAACTTTGTATAGAACAACAGAAGACCTTAAAGAGCCAAAGCAATCTTGAGAAAGAAAGAGTAACACTTCTAGAACATAGGCAGTAAGCTCTTTGACATTGGTCTTGGCAATAATTTTTTGGATTTGATACCAAAAGCAAAAGCAACAAAAGCAAAAATAAACAAATGGGACTACATCAAACTAAAAAAGTTTCTGCCCAGCAAAGGAAACCATCGGCAAAATGAAAAGGCAACCTATGGAATGGGAGAAAATATTTGCAAAACTATATATCTAATTAATGTTCAAAATAGACAAGGAATTCATGCAACTCAATAGCAAATAAACAAATAATCCACTTTAAAAAGGACTTGACTAGACACTTTTCCAAAAAAGATATACAAATGGCCAACAGGTACATGAAAAGGTATTCAACATCACTCCTCATCAAGGAAATGCAAATCAAAACCACAATGAGATATCACTTCACACCTTTTAGATTGGCTATTTTCAAGAAGACAAGAAACAAGTATTGGCAAGAATATGGAGAAAAGAAAGTACTTGTTTACTGCTGGTGGGAATGTAAATTGGTGCAGCAACTATGGAAAATTGTTGAGTTTCCTCAAAAAATTTAAAATATAACTACCATATGATCCAGCAATTCCACTTCTGGGTATATATCCAAAGGCAATGAAAACAGGATCTCAAAGAGATATCTGTACCCCCATGTTCATTGCAGCATTATTCATAATAGCCAAAATATGGAAACAATCTAAATGTCCGTCAACAGATAAATGGTTAAAGATGTGATATCACACACACACACACACACACACACACACACACACACACACACACACTGGAATCTATCCAGCCATGAGAAAGAAGGAAATCCTGCCATTTGTGACAACATGGATGGACCCTGAGGTTATTATGTGAAGTAAAATAAGTCAGACAGAGAAAGGCAAATACTGGATGATCTCACTTATATGTGGAATCTATTAAAAGCCAAATTCAGGAGCACTTGGGTAGCTCAGTCAGTTAAGCATCTGCCTTCAGCTCACGTCATGATCCCAGGGTCCTGGGATCAAGTCCAGGTATCAGAGTCCCACATCTGGCTCCCTACTCAGCAGGGAGCCTGCTTCTCCCTCTTGCTGGCCCTCCCCCTGGCTTGTGCTCTCTCCCTCATGCTCTTTCTCTCAAATGAATAAATAAAATCTTTTTTAAAAAAAGCCAAATTCATAGAAACAGAGTAGAATGGTGGTTTCCAGGGGCTGGGGGTACAGTAAGAACGGGGGGGGGGGCGCCTGGGTGGCTCAGATGGTTAAGCATCTGCCTTCAGTTCAGCTCATGATCTCCAGGCCCTGAGATGGAGCCACATGTCAGACTCCCTGCTTAGCAGGGAGTCTGCTTCTCCCTCTTTCTCTGCCTCTCTTCACTGCTCCTGCTCTCTCTCTGTATCTCTCTGTCTCAAATGAATAAATAAAAAATTCTTTAAAAAAAAAAAAAGAATAGGGAGAGGCTGGTAAAAGGGTACAAACCTTCAGCTAAAAGATAAATAAGGTCTGTGAGTCTAATGTATAACATGATGACTATAGTTGATAATATTGTATTGTATAATTGAAATTTACTAAGAGAATAGAACTTAAATGTTCTCACCAAAAGTAAATAAGTAAATAAGGTAAATATGTGAAATAAGTAAAACATGGTAATCATTTCCCAATGCAAACATATGTTAAATCATCATATTGTACATTAAATATATTACTTTATGTGTCAAAAAAAAGACAAACTTACAGACATATGGATAATTGCTCTTCTATAACTGGAAATCTATGATGGCTCATAGGCTTCCACAAACTTGTGAGAGAAGTGAGAAAAAAATGAAAAGAATGGCTATCTAGGAATTAAAACTACACTCCTGAAAGAATGGCCACAAATATTCACGATCCTCTATATTTTAGAGGAGAACTTATGAGCTACGTTTTTGGTTCTCTCAAACTTACAGAAGTATAATTCAACTAAATAAGTTCAAAGTTTAACTTACTTTTTTTGTGTTCTAGTCTCAAACCCCTAATTTCATGTGACATTCTCTTCTGCGTTGTTTTAGAAAACTTGACATCTTTCTTGTTGTCAATATGTCTTGATGGCAAGTTGGCTCCAAATGAATTACAGCCATTATGTGATAAATTGGTATTTTCTTCTGCCTGGGGAGCAACCAAGATCCATAGTCAACTATGTTCTCTTTGCACATATAAATTAAATATGACATTCTGGGTCAAATCATTCATTGTAGATTAATATTTTCTCTAAAATGATGCTACCAAACAGAATTTTGTTGTAAAGGACTTAATTATTAGTGCATTAGTTCAGATTAGGTACATATTCTAAATGCCAGCAACTATCTTCAGTACATTATACAGCTATAAAATGCCCAGCATTCATGAATGTATCTAACAATTGTTGGATCTAGTTCTTAAAACATCTTTAAGCTTACTTCATTAAGTTAAAGACTTCTGCTCTGCGAAAGACACTCTGAAGAGGATAAGAGGACAAGCCATAGACAGAGAGTAAATATTTACAAAAGACATATCTGATAATGGGCTATATTTTTTTTGTATATTCAAAAAATATACAAAGAACTCTTAATGATAACAAAAAGCACAACCCAACTTAAAAATAGGCAAAAGATCTGAGGCGCCTGGATGGTTCAGTCGGCTATGCATCTGACTCTTGGTTTCAGCTCAGGTCATGATCTTGAGGTCATGAGATTGAGCCCCATGACAGACTCCATCCTGGACATGGAGCCTGTTTGGGATTCTCTCTCCATCTCCTTCTGCCCCTGTCCCCACTTGCACATTGGTCTCTCTCAAAAAAAAAAAAAAAAAAAGGCAAAAGATAAAAAAAAAAAAATTACATAAAATGTAAAGTTGATTGACAAGCACATGAAGAGGTGCTCAACATCATGTCATTAGGGAATTACAAATTAAAATATCAAGATACCACTATACATCTATTAGAATGCCCCAAATCCAAAATACTGACAAAACCAAATGCTGGCAAGGATGTGGAGCAAGAGGAACTCTCAGCCATTGCTGGTGGGAATGCAAAATGATACAGCCACTTAGAAAGACAGTTTGATAGTCTCTAAAAAACTAAACATACTCTTACCATATGTTACAACAATTGCACTTATTGGTATTTACCCAAAGGAGTTGAAAACTTATATGTACACAAAAATCTGCACACAGATGTTTATAGCAGCTTTATTCATAATTGCCAAAACTTGGAAAAAAACAATGTCCTTCAGTGGATGAATGGATAAATGAACTGTGGTACATCTAGGAAATGGAACACTATTTGGCACTAAAAAGAAATGAGCTATAGAGCCATGAAAAGACGTGGAGGAACCTTAAATGCATATCACTAAGTGAAAGGAGCCTAACTTTTACAACAAGAAAGTAAAGGCTGTATGCTGTATGATTCCAACTACATGACATTCTGAAAAGGCAAAACTATGGAGACTAAAAAGACCAGTGGTTGCCTATGGGGGGGGGGGCGGGTGGCGGGAGTGAATAAGCAGAGCACAGAAGATACATAGGGCAATGAAACTCTTCTATATATTATAATAATGGCAACATGTAATTATACATTTGTCCAAACTCATAGAATGTACAATACTGACACAATCCCAATGTAAACTATGGACTTTGGGTGACAATGATATACCAGTGTAGGTTCATTGTAACAAATGTACCACTGTGGTGTAGGATATTGATACTGGAGGAGGCTGCACATGCATAGGGGCAGGGGGTGTATAGGAACTTTCCACTCAGTTTTGTTGTGAATCTAAAACAGCTCTAAAAAATAAAATCTATTGAAGAAAAAAAAAAAGCAGCTATATTACTTCTAAATAGACAGGTCCCCCCCAACAAAAAAGGAACTAGAGCCTAGAAGCAATGAACATGTTTAGAATTGAAATTTGGCTGTTTGCTTAAAACAACTGGAATACATCTGCTTGATCAAAGGTATATTAGTTTTTAACCCTGAACAAATTACACAGGCAATTTATAAAGCAGATCACCAAGGGAGTTTATAGAACCTCTATTTCTACATAAAATGGAAATTAAGGGAACTATTTCAGTGACTTTTAGGGTCTGCATACATGTGTCTTACAATAGAGGCACACCTTTAACAAGTTGCTTCAAAAAGGCAATTGGATTTGCTGCCTTAACAAGGTGTTTATTAGGAATGATGAAAAGTTTCCTAGAGACGTTGAGAAAAATGACTCAAAATGGAAACCAGGAAAATAAAAAGAGGAAGATCTAAAAACTAGGCACAAAAACCTGTTATCAAAGACCAGATGAACAGAAGCAGTCAAATAATGAACAGAAACTTTGATGATACAGAAAATGAAACAACCTCTGAAACTCTACGTTAAAGATGTAGGAAGTATAAACTATATAGCCTAAGGAAGACAAACTGGTATGTTAATATTGTTAATTCTTTTAATTTTTAAGAATTCATCTTCAAAATCAGGTTATGAGGGCACAATCAACAACGCATTAGGTATAAAAAGGTGGAACAGGTTAATATATATATCATACACCTTGGTACTTAGCAAGAAACCTTGAATTTTTTTTTCTTTTTTTTTTTTTTTTGGATTATAGTATAGATACATGTCTTACCTGGTGGCACCAGATCCATTAAAAGTGTAAATTTAAAAGGTTAAGACTCTCAGTTGACAATGTTGAGTTCTACCTGAGCCCTGTGCTTCCAGAAAACCATGAAGATTAAAGGAATCCCCTCACCCTTTTGTGTTCTGGAAAATGGCTTACTGCAAAGAACCACCCTTCCGCATACACTTTAGATAAAACTCACAGATGCCCTCCTTGTTTACCTATGACAAGGCCAAAATTCCCTCTTTGCTTCATGAATGATTAGCCAAACTGTTTTAACCCCACTAACTGATTAATCAGAACAAAATGCTTATTAGCCAAACTCTGGTTAAGCTTCTCTCCTTCCTCCAGATCCCTAAAATACTCTCTGATCTATTTATCCAATCATGCCACGCTTTCATTCCTCTTCCCCGAACCCAGTTCTTTCTAGCCTTGTTGATTCCTGTCTATTAAGAAGAAGAAGAAGAAGAAAAAAAAAGCCCTTTTTGCCTAGCCCTTGAGATGTTTGCAGATCTTCTGGTCACAGCCTTCTCCCTGTTGCAATAGTACCCCCTCTTGCTATTTCAATAAATAGTCCCTTTTCTCTCTCACAATAATCCTTTTGAATAAAATCTCTCCTTACTAAGTTCAGGTTTGTTTTTTGTTTGACACAATACTGGCCAATGGATAAGAACATCCCTGAATCACAGATAAGAAGGCTAGAGAAACGGTATCTTTTATATTACCATCTAGTTAGATTCCCACATCATTAATTATGTCATCTACAACCTTTCATGTAGGTTTAAATCCTTTATTCTCCTGAAAAATTATCCCAGTTCCAACCCCCCAAAATACTCTCACCATACACCACAGATCTCTTGACACTACATAGGTTGCTGGGATGAAAAGTTTCAGTGTAGGCCCACGAAAAGACCTCAAAAGTCATCTTGGTTGTTAAGCAAGATCTTGTAACTATATTGCTCTACAAATCTCCTTACTGATTAAGGATGTGAGATAATGTAAAATAATTTTTTAAAGTAAACTAATTTTTTTTAAAAAGAAGAGAAAGGAGTCTTTAGAAACTGTTTTGAAAAAATAGCTGGCAGAATAAAGGTACTTTAGTTTCCATTTTTCAGTTTAGTGGTAAATTCTGCCCTTGAGGACTCAAGGGCCTTGATGAACAAGTACGAATGAGCAATAGCACAAAAGGACTTCCTGTCCAAAAGAAAAAAGAAAAAATCATGTGCCTGTTTAAGAGACTTAAGTAATTATATTAATCTACCTGAAGTTATTCCTGTAATGTAACACTCACAGCATAATACAGAATAGGTATGTGTGCAAAAGCTAGAAAAAACAGTCCGTATATTGTAATTCATAGAAGATCATCCAGTCCCTTAACTTTACCTTTTGTGGTATAAGAAGAAATAGAGAAATCCAAATTCAAATAAGCATAAAAAGCAGAAAAATCCCGTTAAATTGATTTATTCAAATGAACCCAGAAAAGCAGAACTACTAACATGGAAGCAATCACCAATGTTATTAAATGCTTACTGTGTGGGCGCCTGGGTGGCTCAGATGGTTAAATGCTTACTGTGTATTAGACATTATGATAAACACTTTGACATAAATGATTTCATTTATTCCTCATAAATATCTTTTAAGGAATTATTATTACTCTTAGTTTACAGATGAGGAAAACAAAGACTTGGATCAAGTTGCCCAAGATTACAGCCAACAAATAGTGGAGTCAGAATTTGAAGTTAGGCAGCCTAACTCAAGCACCCGTGGTCTTCAGAACCCTGTAACATTGCCTCTCAAAAAAGTGCTATTGCAAACAAAAGATGACTGAGCCTGTTTTAAACCAGAGACTTCCACATCACATACCAAGCAACTTTAGAAATTCCCCACATTCACATTTTTATACCCCTGAGTCACATTGGATGTGTTATTCATTACATTGCTAGTTATATTACACTGTTAGTTGTAATTATGTCTCATTTTCATACTGTGACGTTTAACTGCAAGTATTAATATTCTAATAGACACAGTACTTCAAAATCACTTATTTCTAAAATGTTATCCTAATTATTGAATGTGATATGTCCAACATTCCTGGAATTCAAAACACATTAAAATAAAATGAAACCATGTGACTAATATCCATCTCAGAAGACATTAGATGGTTATGCAGATTTCCCCAGCAACCCACTTTATGTAACCTCTTCTACCAATTCCTCTTCTACTTCTTCTCCTCTAACCAATTCAATCTTTACTTCTAAACTACTTGGTATAGCACTTACTGTCTTCACCATTGTTACTGTTTTCACTATTCAACTGGCATTAATCATTTGCCTTGTATTTTTATCACATATATATCTCTTATATCAACTATAATCTAAATTTCATGGGTGGACTGAAAGAAATGGATTGGTATCATTCTTTGAATTATTTCTCACAATACCAAACACAATGCTATATGTATATAGTAAATGAAAGAAAGAAAGAAGGGAGGGAGGAAGAGACGGAGGCCTGAAATAAGGAAGACATTTCCTCTGTATTGAGCTTACTCAGAGTTTCTTAAGGTATCAAAGTACTTAATTTTTTTAAAGATTTTATTTATTTATTTTTGAGAGAGAGAGCACCACAAGTGGGAGTGAGGGGCAGAGGGAGAAGCAGACTCCCCGCCCGAGCAGGAAGCCTGATGCAGGACTCAATCCCAGGGCTCCGGGATCATGACCTTGAGTCGAAGGCAGACGCTTAACCGACTGAGCCACCTAGGCGCACCTCAAAGTACTTAATTTAGTAGAGTAAGCTTTATTTAAATAAACCTTGAAAGGAAGAACTGTTTCATAATTTATTGACCTATCAAAAAGTTCACAGGTTTTAATCTGCTGGATGAATCAGATACCACATACCATAACCTTCTCCAAGCTAACAGAAAAAATAGTACAGGAAGTCTCTTCCCCATAAATCTGACAAGAGAATTGCTTCTCAACTCTTTCAATCCTATGACACATATGTGAACTTGCAAGGACAAACCAAGACAAACAAAGAGCTGTATCCCTCTTTTCCAATCATCTATCCATTCATCCCTCCATCCATAAAATTCATATGAATTTAATCCATATGAATTCAACATTTATATATTGTATGCTTACTATGTACTAGGCTCTCCTCCAGTAAAAACAGGAAAAAATAAATCCTGCCCTCGTGGAGCTTACTTTCTAGTCAAAGAGAGACAATAAAATAGGTAAGTAAAACATGTAGTGTGTTTTCTGTGATAAGCACTAAAGAAAAAAAAATGTAAAGTAGGGGAGAAGAATATGAAGTATGGTGTTGGGGAAAAGATGCAGGGAACAGATAGGGCAGCCAAGGGAGACCTTACTGAGAGGGAGACTTTAAGTACAGCCCTGAATGAATATCTTAGGGGAAAGCATTTCAGCCAGAGAAAAGCAAGTACAAAGACTCAGAAGTGAAACGGAGGTTCATCGTTCAAGGAACAGTGGGAAGGCCCACAAAGCTGAAGCAGAGAAAGCAAACGGAAAGGAGTAAAGGGGATCAGGGAGGATCAAGAGAGGGAGGCAGATATAGACGGCCCCGAGATCATTGTAAGAACTTTGGTTTGTGCTCTGAGATGGGAAGCCACTGGAGTGTTTTGAAGAGAGAGATGACATGATCTAAAGTCCTTTCTGAAAGAATCACTCTAGTTGCTACAGGAGAAAAATCAAGTGAGTCTAGATTCCTAAAAGCCAAGTGAAAAAAAATACTTCAAAAGCAGAATGAGTAATGAACTGGGACAAATGCTGCCGTTAGGTCAAGTAAGATGAGTACTAAATGATTAGTTTTCCAACATGGAGGACACCAAAAACAGAAGCTATTTGGGTAGCATGGTAAGGAAATAATGTCCTTGGAGTGAGTTCAAGAGAGAGTGGGGGAGAGAAATAGGAGACAAACAGAAGAGATGACTCTTTCAAGGAGTTATGCTATAAAGGGGAAGAGAAACGAGGTAGTAGCTGAGGGGTAAAGGGGTTATGAGGGTTTAGGATGGGGGAAAAATAAAGGCATGTTCATATGCTGATAAGAATAATCTAGTAGAGGAGAATTACTGAAACAATATTCTCAAGTAGGATAAAGGAGATGAGATTTAGGGCACAAGGGCAGGGTTTGTTCTTAGCCTAGAATATATTCATAGGAATAGACGTGGCAGAGTAATTGGCTTAATTACATGAAGAGTAGATGTGGTTGTGGAGGCTTGTGGTAATTATCTGATTGCTTTAGTTTTCTTATATATATATATATATAATATATATATTTTTTAATCTTAAGTAGGCTCTACACCCAACATGGGGCTTGAACTCATGACCCTGTGATCAACAGTCACATGCTCTACCAACTGAGACAGCAGGGGCCCCTGATTGCTTTAGTTTTCTTAGTGAAGGAACATAATCAACTGAGAATAAGGATGTGAGAAGAGATGCTAGATGTTTGAGGACAGAGGTATTGTTATAAAACAGTCCTCTAGGAGAATGGAGGAATTAATAGCCCAGGGATACTTGATATGGTTGCTGGACAGCATCAGGGCCCCTTGAGGAAGTGATCATGAATTTAAAGTGAAACCAGTAAGCATAGTTATGTTTTTTTTCTCTAGCTATGTTCAATGCAGAAATGCTCACACTGAGGGTGCCTGGGTGGCTCAGTTGGTTAAGCGACTGCCTTCGGCTCAGGTCATGATCCTGGAGTCCCGGGATCGAGTCCCACATCGGGCTCCCTGCTCGGCAGGGAGTCTGCTTCTCCCTCTGACCCTCTTCCCTCTGTGCTCTCTATCTCTCATTCTCTCTCTCTCAAATAAATAAATAAATTTAAAAAAAAAAAAAAGAAAGAAATGCTCGCACTGAGGCAGAGATCTAGATTTAATCCAGGATTACAATTTAGCCAAGAAAGTAAAATGAACTGAAAATGTGATAAAGGAACTGGGGGGAAATGCAAGGGTGTGGTTTTAATTATTGACCATGAAACAAACTGAATAGGTGGGTGGGAAATAAGTACAAGAGAGGGTGAGTGACATTTAAAAAAAAAAAGTGGATTGAAGATCATGGTGGGATCCAAGGATTATTTAGAGTCAGAGTGAGCCTGAAAGATAGGAATGTGATGGTTGGAGAGTGGGACATACGGTACTCCCCCCACCCTTATCCATGGGGGATCCATTCCAAGACCCCCAGTGGAAGTCTGAAATTATAGAGTACCAAACCCAGTATATGTTGTTTTACCCATACACACATCCCTATGATAAAGTTTAATCTATAAATGAGGCACAGTAAGAGATTAACAATAATAAAATAGATTATAACAGTATACTGTAATAAAACTTATGTGACTGTTGTCTGTACTGACCCTTCTTCTTGTGATGATGTGAGATAAAAGGCCTACGTGATGAGATGAAGTGAGGTGAATGATATAGGCATTGTGACATAGCATTACACTACCACTGACCTTCTGATGATAGGTCAGGAAGATCTTCTGCTGAACCAAGTTGACCATGGGTAATTGAAACCATGGAAATCTAAATAAGGGGGTACTAATGAGAATAGGGTGGGGGGACTACTGCATTAAGATAAAAGAGTTGCAGTTATTGGTAATACAAGATTGAGAATATGAAAAAGGGAGCAAGTGACAGAGGAAAGATTAAATTACTGTAGGAGGACAGGAACTGAGAGATCACGGTACTGGAAGGATCATCCCTATGAATGCTAAAATCACAAGAATTACGACAGGAGTAGAGTTAGAGCAGCAGAAAGCCAGGAGCTGAAATTTGACTGAAACAAAAGGAAATGGTAGTGGGTGGTATAATCTGATAACGTGAGATGCAAAACTGAGCATTTTGAGAATGGGATGAAAAAATGTCTGGAAGCACTTATTAGAATCAAGAAGGGGTCATCGACTCCCCCCTCTTGTCCCAGTGGTACTAGGAGAGTGAGAGAGAAAACAGCCACCACCAGCCATACCTGTGTTCTGCCCACCACACTCCCAAATAAACACTGTTCTTCCTCATTTTCCTTTACATCTTGGTCGTCACTATCTGATTCATCAAAACTATCAAAAAGAAATGAGGAAATTCAAAACCCTCTGATA